ATTGGGTGATGGCTATGCAAGAAGAATTAGCTCAATTTGAAAGAAATAAGGTTTGGAATCTTGTTTCTAGACCTAAAGACCATCCCATCATAGGAACTAAATGGGTTTTTAGAAATAAGTTAGATGAGAATGGAATTGTCGTTAGAAACAAGGCAAGACTAGTTGCTAAAGGCTATTGTCAAGAGGAAGGAATTGATTTTGATGAGACTTTTGCCCCGGTAGCTAGACTTGAAGCAATTAGAATGTTATTGGCCTTTCCATGCTTTAAAGGTTTTACACTTTATCAAATGGATGTTAAAAGTGCTTTTCTAAATGGTTATATTCAAGAAGAGGTTTATGTTGAGCAACCTCCCGGTTTTGAAGATCCATCTTATCCAAACCATGTTTATAAACTTTCAAAAGCTTTATATGGCTTAAAACGAGCTCCTAAAGCTTGGTATGAAAGATTAAGTAGTTTTTTTGCTTGCAAATGGTTTTTCTAGAGGAAGAGTTGATACCACCTTGTTTGTGAAAAACAAAGGCCAAGATATACTAATTGTCCAAATCTATGTTGATGATATTGTGTTTGGTACTACTAATGATCTTCTTTGTCAAGAGTTTTCCAAAGCTATGCAAGGTGAATTTGAAATGAGCATGATGGGTGAGCTCAACTTCTTCTTGGGACTTCAAATCAAACAATCCAAAGAAGGCATCTTCATCAACCAAAGCAAGTATACAAAGGAAATGCTTACGAAGTTTGGCATGGAGACTTGTAAGCCAATAGCTACTTCTATGAGCACTTCAATTAATCTAGACAAGGATGAAGGAGGTAAGCCTATTGATCCCAAACTTTATAGAAGCATGATTGGTTCCTTGCTTTATTTAACCGCAAGTAGACCGGATATAATGTTTAGTGTTTGTTTGTGTGCTAGATTTCGAGCTTGTCCTAAGGAGTCACACTTAATTGCGGTTAAAAGAGTCTTTAGGTACCTAAAGGATACTCCCAACCTTGGCTTATGGTATCTCCTAAGGGTTCTTCCTTAGACTTACATTCATATTCGGATGCAGACTATGCAGGTTGTAAGATTGATAGAAAAAGTACAAGTGGAACTTGTCAATTTTTTGGTAATATGCTCATATCATGGTTTTCCAAAAAGCAAAATAGTGTTGCTCTATCTACAACCGAGGCCGAATACATAGCCGCCGCAAGTTGTTGCGCTCAAGTGTTGTGGATGAAACAACAAATTTTGGATTTTGGCATTACTATGGATCATATGCCTATTAAATGTGACAACACTAGTGCTATCAATCTCACTAAAAATCCCATCCAACATTCTCGCACCAAGCACATAGAAATTAGGCACCATTTTATTAGGGATCATGTTGCTAATGGTGATGTTGGTTTATTATTTGTGGACACTAAAAATCAATTAGTTGATATTTTTACAAAGCCTCTTGATCGTGATAGGTTTTTCTTCATTAGAAATGAGCTTGGTATGTTAGATCCTAGTGCTTGATATGATTCTTGAACATGCTTATTAGAAATTGTGCATATTGATATGTGTACCTTGATTATATTCATGATATTTGATAATGCATACATTGATATATGACTAAAGTTGCATTATTTAGTAGTGGATGTCCAATTTAAACTTAGTTAAATGAAGAAATATCAAATTAAGGTGCATTCCCTTCAAAACAGCCCCAAACTTTCTGTTTGTCCCAATCAAGGCCAATAGAGCCGGCTCATCCATTTTCACAGCCGGCTCAACCAAAAACCCGAGAGTATTCTCTCTCTACAGCACAGCCGGCTCTAGGTTCACAGCTGGCCCAACCCAAAAAAACCGAGAGTCTTCTCTCTCTAAACCACAGTTGGCTTTAGGTTCACCAGCTGGCTCAACCGCAGGCGACCCGACCCGGACCCGCTTTACAGCCGGCTCTGTAATTATAGCCGGCTCTTTTGCAGATTTTTAAAGGCCTCGGGTTTCTCTCTCCCCGCACAAACCAGCCAGATCTGTTTCATTTTCTCACCAAACCCGCGACCTCTCCTCTCCCAAAACTCACCATTCACTCTCCCAAACACCAAAATCTCTCCAAATCTCCAAAACCCATCCCTTAAACACTCAAATACCATCAAATCCTTGCCTACCCAACACAAAATCTCAAGCTTTTCACTTCAATTTGTGTGGGATCTGTTGTATTTTTGGTATGGCTGTTGGGATTTCTCTCTCATGGCTTCAAGAAGGGCTGGAAGTAAAAGGAGACAAGTGAGTAGTTCTAGCACCGGTGGTCAAGCTCAAGAAGAAGAAGGTAACATCTCCCAATCAAATCTCTTTTTGGATACCCAAGCCTCTGCAAAGTATGAAAGTATCAAGAATATGGCTGTTTTATCTTGCAATTGTGTAAAATTCAATCAATTTCCTCAATGAGATATGCGTGTTGAACAAATTTTTACAGAACTTGGGTGGAAGGATTATGTAGAAGTTAAAGAGCATGTGTATTATGAAGTTGTTCATCAATTTTATGCTAATTTGAAACCAAGAGGGAATAAATGCAAAACTATGGTTGCTGGGGTGTCATTTCAGTTCTCACCGAGGGATATTTGTGCTGAATTAAATATACTTGAAGGAGGAAATGATGAGTTTCTAGATGTGAATCATGCCTTAGTTAGAGCCACAATTGCCCCCAATTGCACTGAAAATCAAATTAGAGTGGGGTTTCTTACACCAGAGAATAGAGCATTGTAGTGGATTATATCTCGCATTATTGCTCAAAGGAAGGGTTCTAAATCTTATGTTCTTGCCAGTGATCTTCCCTGGTTTGATTATCTTCTTAATGGAAAAAAGGGTGAACCTAGGAAGATACATTTTCCGGAGCATAATCAAGCCTTACTCACCAACTACGAGACTTCCTCATGGTGCTCTAATTACCAGATTGGCGAAGAGGAACAACATTGATCTTACATCCTTTAGGTTCGGAACGGTTTCTACTGGGATGACACTTACCAAAGCTTCTTTTGAGAAAATGGACTATTTGTTTAGAAATGGCATTTGGATAAAGAAAGGGGAACAAGAAGGGGATGAAGAAGGTGATACAGATCAAGAAATGGCAGAACAAGGGGCAGAAGAACATGAAGATGACAGCCCAAGACCATTTCGAGCCTCCATGCAAAGAACTAACCGTGAAACCATGGAGTTAATGATATTTGAGATGCAGCAGCTGCACATCGACTTTTATGGTTTCCAGACATAAATGAGAGGGAGAATGACTAACGTGGAAGGAAAGCTTGATCGGCTTGTTAACCATTTTTTTCCTCCACCCCCACCTGATGCCACCTAACTTGATATCTCTTTAGTTTGGCTAATCTTTAGGATGGACATCTTAGGGTTATGCATTTTATGTTTTATTTTACTATGGATATGTCTTGAACCTATTTATCTTGTTTTATGAATGGAAATGGCATCACTTGTGTTATCAGGCTTTGTGAATGGTTGCTTATGATTTTGATGATACTATGCTCTTATTGAGGGGGAGTTTATTAATTGATAATTATATTCATTACATATTCTTGATGCTTTAAAGGTTGATAGCATGAATTAAGGGGGAGCATTTTGTGCTTAAATTGCTTTTCTTAATGGTTATCATGCTTAAATGCTTTAAAGATTGATGTGCATGAATTAAGGGGGAGTTTGTTGATTATGTGCTTTTTGATGAATGACAAAAAGGGGG